CTTGATCAGCATAGAAGAGACCAGTGACAAGGACTGTGTAGGTCAATTTTCCGTTAGGTTTATTTGGGGCAAGCCATTTTAATTTAATTTCTTTGGACCCATCAATAGTAGCAAATATATCAACTGTTCCTTCGGGGGAAGCTTCCATGGTCCGAGCTTCTACCTGTAAGTTCAACCATGAGATCGAGGTTTGTTGCCTTAGTTTACAAACAGAGAAGGAATAAGAAATGCAAAATTTTAAGAAAAGTTATTTCTTTAGAAAAAAATGTAACTAACATTGCAGGTGTCCTAATTTTTAAGCATTTTACTTTCCTTTCACTTACATTTGTTTGAAGCTGTCCAACAACTAACATACTTTATATGGAGACCCCTATAAGGAACAGGAGATAAATACTGGAAAAGAATGAAAGATTAATTTCTTGAAAACACCATTACACCTCATGTGGATGAATGATCTCAGCTCAGCGTTAGGGGAGGAAGCAGCAATAGAAGACCACAGATTTTTTAGTTTCTATATTTTAAAAGACAACTGTAAGGAACATGCGTTTAAACGCTGTAGTAAATTATTATAGATATTTGATAGAGGAAAAAAATACCCTTTGCGGAATATTGGTTGCTCCCTGAATTAACTCTAATTTCACCTAACAAATTTAAGTTGCAATAAAAAGTAGATCTTTAAGAGAAAACAAAATATGATAAAAGAGCTGGAAAATGTAATGAATATGAAAGATTTTTTATATCAATAAATAAATACTCATTCAATATTACAGAAATTTAGTATTTAAATTTCACAACTTGTAGTAAAAATTCAGTGCTACGGAACAAAATAATTTGCTATTATGTTATTTATGGCAACAAGTTTGTTTCTCATACATTATTTATTTGGTGTTTTCTAAGGTATAAGATGGTTTCACACCTTTCTAAGTGCCTTTCAGCTGCAAGTTCATGGGAGTGCTAATAAATGCTATTTTTAATCTGCCACACCTGCTCTGTCATCAAAATAACCAAACATACTTTCTCTGTCCTTGAAACATGAATCTTTTACTTCTTAGCATGTAAAATTTGGAAAGCTTATTGTTTACAAGTGCCAGGCTGTATCTTTGATGTGCATCAATATCTCTACATATGCTTCTATATTCGTATACTCTACTATATTTAAAATACGTGAGCAGTTGCAGTAAAGTCAACAGGATAAAGTACATGCTTAAAGATAAACAAATGCTTTACGGATTTATTGGATCAGTGCCACATTGATTATTTGGCTATTTCAGTTAAAAACATCCTTACGGAAGAATTTGACTAAACTGTGCTTTTTAAAATAAAATAATCTCCTGTAAAGTTGTGCTGCTTAAGTGCAGGTACTCCAATCTCACCACATCAGAAACATGGAGAAATAAATACCAACTATTTTTTCTGCTGAAGAGGATTAAAATATTCTTAAAACAGTATGAATTTGTAGCAATCTGTACCACATCCTAAACAGCTGCAACAGCTGTATTGTGTCTCTAGCCTTTTCTTTATGACCTGCTATTCTTTTCAGTATAAAAAAATATTGAAACACTGTTTAGAATCAGTACATGTAGTATCCTCTACAGCTACACCTCTGCAGTGTATTTTGAAAAGAATATTTCGTGTAAAAAAATGTATATTCTGTATATAAACATATGGCACAGGAAACCTGTTTCATATTTCTTTTTCTAAACATTACTTTATACAAAATTCTGTGATATTTTCAGATGTGTTTATTAATAACTTAATAATCATATCATATAAGTAACACTAAATCATAGGATAGGAATAATAATAATATTGGGAAAACATTGTCATCCATCTAAGTTTAAAAAAAAAAGTGCTAGCATACACATAAGCTAAAACCCTGAAATTTAAGTTTAATAGCAGTGGGTTGAGATGTCAAATATTCAGTGTTGACCATTTCCATTTATTTACAAGATATTTACAAAAGCTAACACATTTCAAAACCAGCAGAATTTCAGATCTCCTGAATTCCTCTGAAGAATCTATTAGAGGTTACACTATTTCTTAATAATCCATATTCTTATTCCTTTTTAAGCAACAAAAACCAATTAGAGCAGACATAAAAGCAATATCTTGGCTTTACGAGAGAGTTTAAAATTCAGCATTTCTTAATTTACATGTTATCAATTTGCATCTCACTTGAAAATAAATCGTAGTCACTGAAAAAAAAGTTAAACAAAAACTATCTAACCCAAATAAAAAAGTTATTGAAACACAGTAACTGCTAATGCTCTCATAACTGATTAAGATCTTCAGAAACATAAGCTGGAGAAATCCTGTATTTAGGATAGTCACATAGCATTCATTCTTCGATTAGGGCACATTAAGCACAAGATCAGCAACAAAAATAGCTGGAAGCGTATCAGTTTACTGCTGGGAGATGTTTCCCATACTATTTAGAGTAGAGGCAAAACATTTGGTTTTTCTTTTTTTTTTTTTTTTTTTTTTTTAAGGGTTGGATTTATTCTGTAATTGATATAAAAATCTTTCAAAAAATCAAATGAAGATGCAGTGCTTTAACTTCCTGGCAGCACTTACGTGAGCCTAAATAAAGATGTTGTACTTCAATTCCTGTGATTAGAGACGGATCACCAGCTTTGGAAAACAGTTTGCGTACTGATCATGGGATGCAGATGAGTATTAGCTACAGCGACCCCTACTTTGAATTGTTTCAAAAGTCAAGTTATGAGTCTGCAGTTCAGTGAAGGTGTGAAAAAAGGCTACTAAAAATATTTTTTAAAACCCTAACTACTGCCGTTCTGTTCTGTCCTTTTGATGCCTATTTGATAGGACAGAAGTACTGAAAACATACATATTTCATCTGTATGCAAAGTCTGGTAACGACTTATCTTAAACATCACTACTAACACAATGGATTAGGTTATTGCACATCAAATACCTTAAAACAAGGTTTGCTTTTGGGTATATGTGAAGTTGTAAAAAATGTACAAGAAAAACTGGCAAAAAGCCATTCAAGCTTTTAAGAGTAAATATCCTTCAAAGTAGAGCAAGCTATAAAATGTTTAATGGTTATAAAGTCTAGTCGTCTTCTACAGATAGACAATGTTACCAGCATTTGAAAGAAAGCAATCTTGGAAAGAATATTGGAAATGTGACTAACGAATTATATCATAAAAATAAAACCTGGAAGTTCTTTCCAGAGCACAATATAGTGATATTATAAATTATGACGAAAAAATAAACAGAACAACATGAAAAAATCCCAAATCTTCCTATTTTCTTTTTTCTTCCTTTTCTTCCTTTTCTTGTTAGCAAAATTAGAAGTGCACACATAAAGCTGAATTAAACAAAAAATTAAATCTCAGAATTAACACAGTTATGTTCTTTCTCAATTATGCTTGAAAACAAAACCAAGCATAGTATTCATCAGCTACAGTACTATGAAATCATACTGGATTTACCAGTTCAGCTATATGTCTAAAGAACTTTAACAAAATAAAAAAGCCTCAGAAGGCTTGTTTTTCACATGTCAAATTTAACATTCCTGTATTCTCAAATCCTGAAAAAATGGGGTGTTGTACAAGACTGTTAAAATATGTCCAGTATAATATTTCAATCACATACTTGCATTCAAAAGATATTTATGAATCACCATATTTTCTTTGCTCCTGTTGCCACTTCTGGCTTCTGCAATTCTCAAATTAACTTCAGTCCTTTCAGTCAGGCAGCTAAAAATTTGCTCATTACTGGAACAGTAACTCTTTCTTTATATACGTCCTTATAAATCTGGCTAAAGCAGATCTGCACTTTTCAAACATATTAACTCTATTTAATTTCAATAATGTGTGTTTCAGCCTCAAATTTTGCCTTTCTTCACTGTACCTATGTTCTACTTTGGAACAGTGCCTAACAATGACCTATCAAATCTTTAGCAGCTCTTAAACAGGATTTTTTTTTAAATGTCACATTTTGCCAGATGGGTTAGTACTGACCAGAGCGAATCATCACCATTTACTCTGATATTCACTGCCATCTGACATTTATTACACTCCCAGAATGCAAATTAGGTACTCACCAATGGACCCAAAGCACAACCTTTTGCAGTACATGCCTGGACTCTGAAGGAATGCAGACTCCAAGGAGCAAGTCCATAAGCATAACAACTGAGCTGTGATGAATTTTGCATCAGAACACCATCCATATACAATCCATAACTAGTAATAATACCTATAAAACAATGTGATAGCACTCACTTAATATCTAAAGAGCTACAGAGTTTAGAAGAAAACTAATGCTACAGACATTAGGGTGGTAGTAATAGTATTTCAAACAGTTCACAGTTAAGCAGGTAAGTGTTTAGCAGGACTGTGTATGCAACACTCTCCCATCTTTAACTGTTGAAAAACCTCGCAAGTGGATTGCATCTTTTGAAAACAATTACACTATTCCAAAGATTACCCCTTAACAAACTTGTTTCTGAATAACAGCTAATATCACCTTGGAATCAGGAAAACTGAGGCAATTCTGTTTCACAGCCTACTCTGCATATGGCTATCGAAACAAGAACTGGAAAGACACACAAAACCATCTCACATCTTAACAGCGTTAGACTTAGAAGAAAAACAGTGATCTACAATATAACTGAAATGTTGAAGGAGAACCAGGCGAGTGCTGTAACTACAATAAATAGGCAAGAAATAATTTTGTCACACAAGACACCTTATTGATACTCATTCTTGTTGATAATTATCTCAGATTTTCTGCATTTTGCCAACAAACTAGATACTTCATTAATTTGGGGGGGGGGCGGGGGGGCAGGGTTTGGAAAACAGTTTTACCTGCTTTTTTAAACAAAACCACAAAATAGTATGGATTGCTGTTTCCTTCTCCGTATGTTGTAGAAAAACTCCTGAAGTAAACTATTCCTTACCTATTCAATCCAAAGAAAGAAAACATATTTGCAAACTCAAAACAAACATTAGCAAGACTTTTAGATAGAGGAGAGAACGGTCCTTCTGGTGTAATTGGCTAATCCTAACTCAAAAATTGCAGGTGATTCCTTATCTCATTTATAAGGAAATCTAAACCTTTGTTCTTCCAAAGGTGCATGATAGAATAGCATGAATCCTGGACAGAATGTACATACATAGTGTTTTGAATTTAATGAACTAAAGACTGAATTTTACAGATTTGCTTAGACTTTGGAAGTTGAGCTTGCAAAGGAATCCTTTTTCTCCATCTTTTTCACTTCTGAATATTCTACTTTTTTAAAAGCTATTTAAATGTGAAATCTTCAGGCCAATAAATGCAAGGATTCATTAGAAGTTATTTCAGTTCAGAGGATGCCTTCTAATCTTCCCATTACAGAAAACATCTTTGTATTGTAAAAATACAGCTCAGTTCATCTTTCCTTCCCTTAAAACTGAATTGTTTGAAACTACATTGAGGAAGATTCTGTTTGAAATAGAGAAAAGGTTTTCCCTCTACCGAATAGAGAAATGCTTCGTAAATAAAAGTGTATACACAACTGTTTCAGCTGAGCTTTGAAGACTTATACTTCAAAAGATTTATATGCTAAAGCAATGCAGAGTATGGTGAAGTGATTCACAGACTCCTCGATTCTTTTCTCTTCTAGAAAAGCGAGAGGCTAAACTCAAGTCAGACAGCAGAGACGTGTGTGTGGGAGGAAGTCCTGGTAAATCTCACACTATCAATCCTACCACATTTGACAGGCTTCCTAGAGCAAAAATCCCTTGGGGTCCCATGTCTAGTTGCTTGTAAAACAAGGGCATTAATGGTTGATATTTGCCCTACATTAAATAAACAAATTATATATATATATAT